CCCCCTCTCCCACGAGCATAAATACAACCCCCCCCCCTGTTGTGATCATCACGTCCCCTGGTGGAGGGACGTATAATTCACAGTTGTTCAAGAAAGCAGATTATCTCTCATCACTGGTGACCCGTCAGTGCGGTTAGCCGTAAAGAAGTAGTAGCGCTGTTAACTTCCCATTTCAGTACGAATCAGAAAAAGGGCGCTGTTTGGCTTGGAGGGGCAATTTACACGTTTGTTAGTTCCCCCTGTACATGTTCAACTTACAGGTCAACAACTGAGCATTCTCTAAAGGATGGTTACGTAGCTTGTGAAAGCCTCGCGGAGCATCATTCAGTTCCTCTATCAAGTTGAACTACGCCGAAGGAAAGGAAAAACTTGTCGCTCTCTTTGCTTGTTTCCATAGAGATTCACTACGACCTCTTGACCGTGACAAATCGAGATAATTCTTCCCGTTGGCTCATATTACAGAGGGACAAAGCACTAATTCGCCAATACTTCTTCGACTTTCAGCGCAGTTCGGCAAGGAGGGGCAACTTGCACTTTCGCTGCTTCGCCAGTCGGTTCACAAGTATCACTGTGGCGAAACCTGTGAACTCTTGTGAAGGTAGAGTAAGCTCGTCGAGCCACTATGGTCAATGGTATTTGTATGGTATATGGCTTCATAAGACCTGATAGGTATTCGTTACAAGAGTTGGCAGCTTGTCTTCACAAACTTGGGCTGGTATCATTTCGTTGCTTCACAAGATTTCCACATGTCTCCGTTTGCTGGCTCGAAATGTCGCTGGGTTGTAGCAAAAGTGCAAAATGCCCCTGTTACCGTCTCTGAACTGCACCTCACCTTCTTGTTATCCTATTATGCCGACCAGGTTTCTTATAAGTGACACCGTTCCCTCGGCCTACGCTTCCATCACATCGTCGTTCCCGGGACCATATAAGGGCCCGTTGTTCTTGTTCCACTTTACCCGATCGAGCGCCCCATCCTTCTAAGCCTACAGCACATCTCAAGAGCTCCAAATAGGGAACCCCTCGATGAAGGAATTAACCCTCGGCGGTTTTACCAGCTCGAAAATTTTATTCAGCAGGGATAAGTTAACCCGTACTGTCATGCGTGCAGTGCGTGATGATTTCATAGACACAGAAAGAAATGAAATTCAGGAAATCATCTGTGGAAGCCATGCACTCAATTCACCTGTTTAGCTTTGAATTTTGCGATTTTGCGAACAAGCTCAGGGGACTGGAGACGTTCTTTCGTCTTTTACATGGCTGGCACTCCTTCAAGGAAACCGAGGTTGGAGTTTATAACTCCTTCCAGTGTAGTGTGGGGTTCTTATGTAAAAACCCTGCCAACGTACCGAGCGATGATACTGACGATACACCAGTTTCGTTCTTTGTATGAATTTTACAGGAAAGCTTTTTTGTTGGGTCAGATAGTTCACGATCGGCTAGAAATGCATCGAAATGTTCATCGAACATCTTTCATTATTCACATACATAGAATATATTCGATATATAGATAGATAGATATATTAGATAGATAGATAGATAGAAAGATAGATAGAATAGAACTCACGATAGATAGATAGATAGATAGCACTAGATAGATAGAAATAGATAAAGAGAGCATAGATAGATTATGATAGATAGAACTAGATAGATAGATAGCGAATGCGATAGATAGCCGTTTTCTGCCTGCGTGAGGCCTCGTCAGGAGGCCTGGGTCTGGCTCCGCGCCAGCCCGTTTTCCACCAATCACAGAAGCAGGCAAGCGACAACAATTGCGGCTTGCGCCACGATAACACAGTTTCCCAATTTGGTGGGTCGTACGACAATGGCTATCACTATCGTTAGCCATGCTTCTTCGCAATCATTACGGCGCCTACAGTAATCACAAGAGTTTCTAAAGCCCTGTCCCTCTGTCTGAGGATATGAGAGTCTGTGGCATCTAATGGAGCTAATGAAGGGAATTTTGAGACCTATCATTTTTTAGATGATATGAAGAAACGCAGTCCCATCGTTTTAACATTGAAAAGTGCGTGCATAAAGTCTCTTACCCTGAACACTCTCTCATCGAGCGTCATAATTGCATCGCTCAGCGCATCGCTGACACCAAGCTATGGCCTGCACTCCTACGAATACGGCACGCACGGGCCAAATAGAATCTGAAATCATGGCATATCATTAACTACATGGAACTAGAACTACAAAGCCAGTGCTTACACTGCTTATAGTTTCAGCGTCTGTAGATTGGCTACAATGGGCTTTCTATTAACCCATTCGTGAAAATGTCCGCCTCTGGTGGTGGACACCGAAATGTCCACTTGGGATAATGTCCACCATATGTGGCGAACGGGCTTTTCATTGAATATTTGTTAGAACATTCAGGCTCTTGCCGGGAACAACTTCTCGCGCCGCAAAAGGCAACTCCACATACTTCCTAGCTAATGTGAGGCACAACATAGATCGCTGGACCAACGAGACGGTCGACGGATAGCCTGCCTATCTGCTTCCACCCACAACCGATGCTAAACTATGGGATATCATGGTCTCGCCGTCCTAATTATTGATGTGACATTCACTTTCAGCAGAAGCGCTAGCGTAGGGCACTATGGTCACTGACGCTATGCTAAGGGTGAGCTTCTGAGGAGCGGACCACTCCTTCCTCCGAGACTCAGCCTTAGCAAGAGCGCTATATACCGCTCATGCCATGTAGCGCTCTACAAAGATGAAAAATGAATATCATATTATCGATATCGTTCATCGTGATCGCTCCCTCCCCCCCACCCCCAGTTACTTTCAAATGCAAATTTCAGCAAAGAAAGGGTTGTGTCGCAAGTTGGCGACGGCCGGTGACCTTCTGGCGCCGAATAGCACGGGTGATAAAATTAATGGTTTATTCCTGATCAGGATGTCGAATAACGTCCGTGTGCAAGCTTATACCGATTTCAGCGAAGGGTAAGCCAGGCCAAATTGGTTGACGCCACACTGGCGCCACATGGCGTGATTCCGTCATACGCCAGAAGTGAATGTCGTATTGCAATATGAGTGACAAGTAACCCCAATATGTACGTCTACACCGATTTTGGTGGAAAATGTTATAGCACTAAATCAGCGCACACTGGCGCCCAATAGCGCCGGAGGACAAGTAAAAATTTTTGCGTCCTGAACACAGATATATGTAGACCTGTGTTCGAAAATTTAGCAAAAATGAGATTTTCGGAGCAGTCAGTTGAACAGTGCCAAAATTTTTAGTAAGGGGTCACGAGGGACCGTGTCCACCACTGGTGGCGGACACTTGCTGAGAGCTCGCAAATGCTCCGGTCCGAACGAGCCACTTTCGAAAAACGCCCTGGTCGCAAACGGGTTAAAGCAACCCTTGACTTTATGTATCCGAAAACAAAAATTTCACTGTATCGAGTGCGCTGTACAAGCGCTATATCAACACATAAGTTTCTTGTGGTTTTTTTTGTCAGTAGTTAAGGAAAGATTTGGATGTCAAACCTGCAGAGCAAAAAGCGGATCCGACATGAAAATCCTTGGGACGTCCGGCTTGCATCCCATTAAACCAGCCAACTCTTCCATGTATTCCATGTAATCAACCTGAAAGTCAGATCTTTAGCATTATTTTCCCCTTTGTGAATATATTCTCCATTCAGAGGCTAGTCGACGGCAGTCAAAAGTTCTGAAAAGCTTATAAGGAGTCATGGTGAAGAGATCTTTTTTTCATTCCAAGGTGCATTCAACGGCAATGCAATATGAATTATACTGCATTAGGAATACCTGTATGGTATGCCTTGGACTTTGTACAAAACATGCCTTCATCGCATCTCTTTTCTTCTGGATGGACTTCTTCATCTGAATGTCTAACATATGAATAATCACTTTGCTTCCAAAGGGTCGACAAACCAGCACGAACCTCTGCTACCGAGGGAATTCTGTGGGATCCAAAGAGGTTCTCGTAGAAGAGTCTGGCTTGCATTTCTGATATAGGCATAATCGACCCAAGGGGCTAAAATGTAGCGCCTTTAGAATATATTTCACATTCTCGACGTTGTTATAACTGTTGGGAGGCGTCCCATTATGAGCTGTGGCGGTCTCTGCGAAGGATAGGGCTTGTGATGGGGTGCGGGCTCTGGCATTGCCGTGGCGGATTTTCCCCACTTATGCTGCCATCTCGGTTCCGTTACAATCCGTGTGAAAGGTTGTTCCGGCTTCGCTTCAATTCATGCCCCTCCACACGCGTTATCGCTTGCAGAGATGGTGGCTACATACAGTATCTCCGTCGCTATCTAGATACACTCTAGTTCTCTGCGGACGGTTGGGCGTGTCAGCCAGTATGAGTGTGTCACCCTATCAAGAGCCGTTCTCTGCCTTCTTGTTGAAGAGCGCATGCGACAAAAAGTGGTAGAGAAATACGAAGGATA